AAGCAGACTCTGTGCTGTCAGTGCAGAGCCCAACGCACGGCTTGATCCCACAAACTGTGAGATCATGACCTGAGACAAAACCGAGTTGGACGCTTAACTGACTGGGCCACCCAGGTGCCCCAAAAGCTCCTATGTTCCTGATTAATGAACTTTATACTTATGAACAGAAATCCCTGGGATTCTAACCCAGCCTCTGTTCCTTACAGAATCTAGCCTTTTATAATCAGAAAAGCCTAGGACTAACCCAGTCTCTGTTTACCCAGGACTCTAACCCAGCTTCTTACAAACAGCTGCTTGGTTGGGACTCTGACCCAGCTTCTAGAGTTTATTCAGAATCCTGAGAATCAAAATCTGGCCTCCCCCTTCAGGGGACGTTTATCTGGAGTGGTGGATTCTAGAGTAGGATTCGTCATTGAATACCCAAACCAGCAAACAGACTGGAGACGAAAGGTCTCTGTGTGTACCACGAAGCCTAGTTGTCATGTCTAAGAGTCCAGTGGTAGTTCAGATTTGGGTCACAGCACCAAAAACCATTAAAGAGAAACAGAATTGGATAGAAGTTAAAGCAGTGAAGATAGATTTTACTGAAAAACAAACAGACAAAACCAACAAAACAAACTATTGCAATAGGGGAAGTGACTTCAGTATAGACCTGGGCTCAATTCCCAATACAACCAGAACAAGGCAGAATTTATAACCAAAGAGCAAGTGGGGAGGGGGGCATTGGTGGATGGAAAATTATTAAAAGGAGACATTAAGTCTGGGGTGGGTTCTGGCTGAGGCAGGCCAGGCCAGGCCAAGATCAGATATCACCTGGGGGGGGGGGGGGGGGGTAGTGGGGATGGGGAGTTTGATCAGATTATCAAGGGTGGGGATTTCTCACTAAACTGATTTTGCAGGTTTCTTGCTAAAACTAGATTCTAGCAGGAAGTACACATAAAGGCCTTAGTTCTTCAGGGAAAAGGCTGGGACAATTGTGTCCATTTCTACTCCCTTTTCTATGGGATCCCTCCTTTGAGAAATGGATTTCTAAATGGTTTTAAAAGTTGAAGTATAGTTAATGACACAATGTTATATTAGCTTCAGGTGTAGAAATTCAGGTGTAGTGATTCAGCAGGTCTATACATGTACTATGCTCTAAATTTCTAAAGTTTTTACTCTGAAATGTATAGTGGTTGTCAGAAATGGACAACAGGCTTATTCTTGGTTTAACTGAATGCACTGCAATCTTTCACTGTATTTATTGCCAATCAACCAATTAAAAAAGAAGGGTTAGAGGGGCACCTGGCTGGCTCAGTAGATAGAGCATGCAACTCACATTGTAAGTTCAAGCCTCATGTTGGGTGTAGAGATTACTTAAAAAAAAAAAAAAATCTTTAAAAAAATAAAAGAGTTTGAGTTTAGGAAGTTCTTAGTAAAGAGAAGGGCCCAAGAACCATCTTAGAAGCCAGACAGCTTGGTCATTGTTTTTTCTCTGTTGGAGGTTCCTCTCCTGGGGTAAATCCTACTTAAGGAGGAGGCATCCCTTGTGACTAGACCTTGAAGCTCCTGATATTTGGATTCTGGCCCCTACAGGCACCTCTGGGCTTCCAGGTGGGTTTGTCCATCTATCCATGACATGGATCTGTGGTTCTGTCAGATCTGGCCAGCACCCAAGGCCTGAGGGGACTGGCAGGACAGACCCATGTGGGCCCTAGCCTTCAGTCACCCAGCTTTTTTTTTTTTTTTTTTTTTTTTTTTAATGTTTATTTTTGAGAGAGAGAGAGACAGAGTGTGAGCAGATGAGGGGCAGAGAGAGACACACATACATAATCCAAAGCAGGCTCCAGGCTCTGAGCTGTCAGCACAGAGCCTGATGCAGAGCTCGAACTCACCAACCAACAAGATCATGACCTGAGCTGAAGTTGGATGCTTAACCAACAGAGCCACCCAGGCACCCCCAGTCACCCAGCTTTAAACATTACCCACGTTTTGCTAATGTCATTTCATCTAGAACCTCCCCCTACTCCTTTTGTTTTCTTGGAAACTTTTGAATTAAAGCACAGACATGTCGTTTCATAGCACAGTTTCACTCTGAGACCCTGAGGTGCCGTGAGGGTCTCAAACAGCTGGGGATTAGAAGCCAGGCCTGGAGGCTGCCCAAGCACTAATTTACCAGGCAATCTTCAGCGAGCTGTTTCCCCTCTTTGGGTTTGCCTCCTCGTTTGTACAAGGAAGGTTCTGGCTCAGGTAGTGGCTGTGGTCCCTCAAAAAGGCAAGGCGCTGTGGGTTGGAACAAGGCCCAGGCCCCCCCACCCCCAACCCCACCCACTGTGGGCCCTTCAGGCTCCTGGTACCAAGACAAGGAATAAACAAACAAGCCGAGGTAATTTCCCTCTTCCTTGGAAACAAAGCTGGGGTGGTCTGGAGAGGCGTGTGGAGAGAGCCAAGAGTGCCAGGTGGAAATGGGCCAAGGAGGCCTCGATGATCACTTCCCTGCCCTGCAGGGAACATCTGAGGACACCGAGGCCAGATGTGTTGATTTTGCACTCTCTCTGGTGTGATAAAAGCCCCATCAAGAGCAATCTCTCTATTCCGAGCCAGCCTGGGGAGGGGTGGCCCCCGGCCTGTGCTGGTCTCGTCTTCTGTCTTCGAAGCACATCTCCTCTTATGGAAGAGCCCCAGCTGCTTCTGCACTGTCAGCGGAGCGCTGGTGAGCAGGCGGCTTCAGCAGGCACACTCAGTGTCTGGGCTCCCGCCAAGCCCCTGACGCCCAGCCTTCTGCCCAGCCTCCTGCCCGGCCTGCCGACCCTCCCCCCTCAGTGAGTCTCCTACTTCCTTCCTCTGCCACCACCTGCCATTCCCCACTGAAGAGCCCTTTATTGATCTTGGCCCATTTCTCAAAGTTGCCCTACTGTAATTCCATCCGGGCCACATCCTCCCCTGGGACCAGCCCAGCCAGTCCTCTTGGGTTTGTTAATGGTGGTGGGGCTCTCCTGGGGAGAGCCAGTGCCCAAGATGGGGGAAAATCAGGTGGTCTGTGCCCACAGAGCCTGCCTTGAAAGAGGCTGGCTTCCACGTTGAAATCGGAACGTGCAGGAAACCGGGTGACTCTGCTTGCACTTCCCAGTCTGACAAGTGCGAAGTCGGGAGTGGGGATCCTGCTCTGCACACCCTGCTGGCCCCCTCACCCTAAGCATCCAGACACAGAGCCGGTAGCGGTAAGTGCTGGCTGCACAGCAAATTCACTGTGTTCCTTGCATGCCAGGAAGATGCCTGGCTGCTTCTGCCTCTCCAGTGTGACCTCAAAATCCAGCACTGACTGAGCAGTCGGAGTTGAATCAGCAGATCAGTGCAGTGGGGTTGGGGAATCACAGGATGGGATTTCCTGCGTGTCTAGGCACTGAGGGGGAACTTGCCTTGGAAAGTCCGGAGGTGCAGGAGGCAGAGCGAGAGCCGGAGTAACAGGTCCCCTTGCCTCAGGCCTGGGGTGGTGGTGGCGGGGGTGGGGGGTGGGGGTGAGGAGGGGGGGG